TCCATCGTATCAAGATCGAAAGAAGACATATGTCGCGAGATGTTAACATTTCGTTTAATCTTCTCAATCGCTGACGTAAAACAAACAAGCACATTTATAGCACATTGAATTTGTAAATCGTTGAGAACGGACATGCACAGTTAGACAGGGGCTATTGGAATTAAAAATAAAATATAGGTCAACTCCACGGCAAGTGAATTGATTGGATGTTTGGATATTTTATTTTTAATTCCAATAGCCCCTGTCTAACTGTGCATGTCCGTTCTCAACGATTTACAAATTCAATGTGCTATAAATGTGCTTGTTTGTTTTACGTCAGCGATTGAGAAGATTAAACGAAATGTTAACATCTCGCGACATATGTCTTCTTTCGATCTTGATACGATGGATAAAGGGGACCCAGTGTTTCAAGTCTCATTTACACTAATATCTGAGGAGTTGGATAAGTTCGCGCTTGCGTAGCAATGAAATGTGAATAAAACACACCTGATTGACAGTGTTGCAATTCAGCACATAGACTAATGGTTCCATCAGAAGTGACAGGTAGGGCAATAGGGTAGATAGTCGAACCGGAACAATCACGCACAATTCGCCCAACAGATCTCGTGCGTGAGCTCGATGCGGGGATCGAAGTAGTCGATTGAGTGTGGACAGCATCTCGGGCAGGAGAGGAAAGAATTCCCGATACAGTTTGTCATGCGCACCACCACCGATGGAACGAAACAAAGTCCGTAGTAAAGTCAAATAGGCAGTCGGTTCCTTGGCTGTGAGACAGTATTGCATACTGCCTTGAACAATGCGACGCAAATGAAGCTACGAGTAGCAAAATCGTAAAAGGGTGTGACAGGTAGATTTAGGCCTAAGGGCATGGATTGTAACAGCCGCGGTATAGTGATCATGAACCATAATATTCCACAATATATATAATGTTTATGCATACTGATTACATACATACATACATACATACATACAGATGTTGACCAAACTCGTGCAACACCCCCCTCATTTTGAAAATCCATTTCAGCTTGCAATATCATAGTTAGATATAGATGGCTATGAGTAAAGTGTGTTTATTCCCGACTTTATCTCCAACATCTATGTTCTTAGTTCATTTTTATCACCATTTAAATGTGCGCGACCTTGAGTGTCACGATAAAATTTGCAGTAGTTCGAAAGTTACAGCTCTGATTTAGAAAATATTTTGGGCAAAGCAGCGTGGGAGCTCCTTCTTTTTAATAGATGATTCCTGTCCTATGAGAGTTTCTATTAGGTTGAGCACACGTA